TGGATATGGAACCAAGCACTAATGTTTGCTGTGTTTTACATGGCAGTCTTCCTGATAAGAAAAAAAATCGAGGAGGATAATCCAGATAATCGCATTCAGGCTTCAGATCGCAAGAAGCTGGTATGTTGAAATCTCTTCTTTCTATTTTCTTTTCAATATTCTCAGAAATTGAAGGCACAGCACGTAGATAGATACATTCACAGCAGGCATGAAAAGGGGTGTATGATGCTGAAAAGAAATTTCATCATTCTTCATTTGACTTTTAGGACAAATCTTTAATCATGAATGATGTCAATGGTGGCCCAAAATTTAATAATAACTAACTGTCTTTCCAAAAGTCTAATCTAAGATGAGCGAACAGAGAATTAGTTTTGGAAAACATTATCACTTTTATTTCAATCTCATTAATTACATCCATACTGTTGGGACATTGATGGTCTATTCTGATTTCATTCTGTATATTCCCCATGCGCGACAAAATTTATAATCTTTCATGCATAAGTATGGGTTTGATTTGATTCCAGGACATGGGTTATCTCACGGAATGTGATAAAGCTGGGAAAAACCGAACCCCTACAAATGAAGTTCACAGCACTCTGAAGCAAGAGGTACAATATCAGAAATGTTGCTCCCCATAATTCTTTTGATGCAGATTTTGATGCAATCATATTTATTGCACCGTGGCCCCTTTGTCCATTTCTTCTTTGTTTTGTTTTTTTTTCCCCTTTTTGGTACATTACATCCATCATTGAGTTTGTGCATCCCGCGTGAGGGACTTGGACCATATTCTTTTAATCATGTCTATTTCGTTCATATTTATTTATTGTTAAATTACCCTGTGACAGATTCTACAACTGGAGAGAAGATTACAAGACCAATTTCAGGTCAGAGGCACGTTAGAAAAGGCACTTGGATACAGATCTTCATCTCTCGTTAATTCAAATGAGATGATGATACCCAAGGTAGCAACAAGTTCAATTAAATTGGGGTCTAGAAAATATGCATATACAAACACATTGTCATATATCTGTCCTGTATCATTAGATTATTGTGCAGCGTATACATGATTATATACATTGTTATGCATTCCTCTAGTCTTAATTTTTTCTTTTTGTATTCCAGCCAGCCACAGAATTAATTAGGGAAATTGCAGTGTTAGAGTTGGAAGTTGTGTATTTGGAGCAACATCTTCTGTCCTTGTACCGTAAAGCATTTGATCAACAATTGTCTTCGGTATCTCCGACTTCAAAAGATGAAAGTATAAAGTTCCCTTTGACAACACTTAGTGCACGATTCATCAATGTTTCTGTGCCAGAGATCTTAACCAATAGAGAATGTTCTACAACACCATCTAAAGACCATGAGCTTGAGACTCAGAGAAAAGAGCAAGAGAAACATGAGCCTGAGACTTTAGGGAAAGAATACAATGAAAATCTAATAGAAGAAAACCATTTGGATTCTGGTGTTTATCGTTGTCATTCCTCGTTATCCCATTGTCCAGCGTTTACGAGAGAATCTCCTCCAGCTGATTCTTTAGCTAGATCTCTGCGTGCCTGTCATTCCCAGCCATTGTCCATGTTGGAGGTGAGTCTAAGTCTTGTTTGTATAAAGTTTTCAATGAACATTTATAAGATGAAAAATATAGGAAGAAGAAATAAAATAAACGCATATGTTAAGTTAAAATTAGTTTATGTATTGGATTTTAACCGAGTGCATGATTATATGCAGTATGCTCAAAGCTCTTCAACAAACATATTAAGTCTGGCAGAACATCTTGGTACCCGAATTTCTGATCATGTTGCAGTGACACCTAATAAACTTTCTGAGGATATGGTGAAATGTATATCAGCTATATACTGCAAGCTTGCAGACCCTCCCATGACTCATCCAGGCCTCTCATCTCCAAGTTCATCCTTGTCCTCGACAAGTGCCTTTTCCATTGGAGATCAAGATGACATGTGGAGTCCAAGGTTCAAGAATAATTCCTCTTTTGATGTACGGTTGGATAATCCTTTCCACGTAGAAGGACTCAAGGAGTTTAGCGGTCCGTACAGCACCATGGTTGAAGTCTCGTGGCTTTATAGAGAGAATCAGAAGTCTGGTGATACTGAGAAATTGCTTCAGAATTTCAGGTGAGGCTGTTATATTTCATTCAGATAATGAAGATCTCACGTTAAAACTATATAGTAGAAGTTTCTAATGAGCGCGTCCTTTTTATGTTGTTTTAGGTCACTTATTTGTCGACTAGAACAAGTAGACGCTGGTAGGCTGAAACACGAGGAGAAGCTAGCTTTTTGGATCAACATACACAATGCTTTAGTGATGCATGTAATTATACTGTCAAGAATATGGTTCTGTGTAATATTTTCTCATTTGATTAGTCGGGTTATAATTTGTTATTTTGTTTCTAATAGGCATTTTTGGCTTATGGGATTCCACAAAACAATGTGAAAAGAGCTTTTCTTCTTTTGAAGGTAAACATTGAGAGTAGTACCTTCAAAGTTATTTAATAAAGGATGGAACTCTTATATGCTTGTTTGGTCTTTGCAGGCTGCATATAATGTTGGGGGTCATACGATTAGTGCTGACACAATACAGAGTACTATACTTAATTGCCGGATGTCTCGTCCAGGCCAGGTGAATCTTATCTTCCCAATTACTTCCATGTAGAAAACAAATAACAAATGAGAGAAAAAAAACAACTGAAGTTAAACTCAAATATACTTTTAATATTTCTCATCCACATGCAAAGTATTTTTTGCTTTTCTTTTATTCTAGACACTGGTGATTTACATGGTTGCTACTTCAAACTTGATTCCTCTTGTAGTGGCTGCGCTTGTTATTTTCTCCAAGGACAAAATTCAAGACTGGAGATAGACGACAGGCTTATGCACTGGAGCATCCTGATCCTCTTTCACTCTTTGCACTCTGTTCAGGAAACCATTCTGATCCCGCGGTATTTCCTCAATTCTAATTTTTATACATTTTTTACGTTTATTTGGGAAATTCCTTATACATTGGCTAGTATTCAAGCAAAATCATCTGGATAACATTGAAATTAAATCAGTTGCAAAAGTTGTTTACATATGCTTTGACAATGCCATATGCAATGGTTAGAACTTGGAAGTGTTACATGTCAGGAAGAAAATTACTTCTAACTGTGTTTAATAGTTAACATGGAATGTGGTGTGAGAAGTGACTATTCTCAGAGAATTATTCACACCTTATTCGCCCTCTTGCTATCCACCCATTGAAATTTGTCAACCAAACTCGTTTTCTTTATTGGCAATAACTTCCCTCTTTAGTTGACTTTTTTGTTATACTTGGAGGGGTCTGAATCGAAGAACGAAAAAAAGACAGCGATTCTATATAAATCATTCTTTGCTCTCAATAAGAAGATAAAGTGGATCATTCCATGTTAGCTGTAAAACTACGACACCAAGTTATTATGCTAACCAAACAAATTGAAGGCAGGGGATTAAGAAATAAATATATGGACAAATAGATTAGGTGTACAACAGACATTTTTTAATATTCATTTGCCTAACTCTGATGATGTTTGGCAGGTACGTATATACACACCAAAGAGTGTGTTTCAAGAGCTAGAAGTTGCAAAGAACGAGTACATTCGAGCCAACTTAGGAGTACGCAAGGACCAAAAAATACTATTACCAAAGCTTATTGAGTCATTCAGCAAGGACTCGGGTTTGTGCCCCAACGGTGCCATGGATATGGTCCTGGAATCTCTACCCGAATCCCTCAGAAAGAGTGTTAAGAAATGTCAGCTTGGAAAATCCCGGAAGTGCATAGAATGGATTCCACACAACTTCAGTTTTCGATACCTTATATCTAAGGATATGGTAAAATGAATGATTGTTTCGCAGCTTTGCTTCTTAGTGTCGCAAGTGGTGTGCTTTGTTTGATCTGTGTAATTCTTTTTGTACAAAGTAGAAAGGGCACAGCGAAATATAATACTATAATGTGAAAGCACAGTTGTACCTACTACAAGTGAGGCGGTGTAAATAATGTGTGTTGCTACTGTGCATGCACTCGCTGATCCCACAGCACACGTATATGTTTGGTGATTGTCTAACATGTTGCTTATTATAAACAATTGATTTCAGTTTAAAGACAACAAGTGGTAGAACGCATGAAAATGAGAGTGTCTGGTCTTAGCCCTATCACAATTAGAAATTTAATCAAATTACGTATCAGTTGTAAATCTAAATCATGAGTGGCTTCTTTTGTCGACGAGGTTAGTGTTCACCAAAAAAGTCTAAGCTCAGCTTGGAAAACAAATGGAATTGAACGTGTAGACCCCAACTCTGAACAGCTAGAATAATTAAATTATTAACACACTCAACGAAGCATCAAGAACAGAAAAAAATATATTTTAGATACAAAAACTAAACTTAAAAAAACCAAATTTCAGTCATCCATAAAGGTTGAATAGCAATGCCCAAATTTTCAGTCAACCATAATGTAATGTCCGAATAATTGAATCCTTGAAAGTATTCAATTTTCTCTTCAGAGTCTCTGTGTGAGATGATATAAACAATAAATAAAAAAAATAAAAATGTCCAATATTATTGCCTCATTATGAAACCTTCAAAAGTTATTGTCATTACCACAGTTTAATTACATTTTATAACTAACTCATCCTTTTATATATTTTCGTAGTTGGCAAATGACCTTTTATATTATTATTAGGACTTTTCAACCCAAGGCAAAAGTAAAATTGCATCGAAAAGAAGGGTGTCACGTGGCATAGGGATTTGAGTATCATGTTGTTCAAGTTGGAAACATAACTTCTGTTTTTCCTTCCTTTTCCTCATCCCTTTAACTACTAAACACTACAAAGTATCAAGTAGTGCAAGGTCAGAACCTTTTTTACCGTTTAAGTGACACATATTTAAGCGCTTAAATTTAAATTTAAAGTAAAACGATTAATAATTTACTTAATTACTTTCGCACATAAATATTGATGAAAATCACATAAATGGTGGTCCAACATCATCTAAGAGTTTCTAACTAAAATAATCAGCAGTAGCAGAAAAATAACAAGAAAAACTTGAAAACCTACAGCACATGAAGAAGAAAGAAAGTGAGAAAACCTACGTCATAAACAGAAAATGTCTTTACTTCATAATTGATTTGATATGATGCATGGAATGGGAATGGGAATGGGAATGGGAATGGAAATGGATGATGGATGGATTAGTATGGGCTCTCTCCAATGACGTTACCCGGTGGGTCATAGAAACAAATGGTCAAGCTTGACTTCTCCTTCACGCACGACGCTTCAGCGCACCCAACCTCCGTCGAATTCCCCACACCACCTGCGTGTTAAACCCCGCACTCGTGCTTCCCCACGCACGAGTTGTAGCCCTAACATTAGAACTCTTTCTCCTTCACCCACTCCTCCACCGCCACGCGTGGCGCCACCGTCGTCACGCCCGCCCACAGCTGGTTTCCGCCGTACTTGCTGGTGGTCAGGTTGGCGAATTCGCACTTCATTTTGTTCCGCTGGTACCGGACCATCAGACTGGAGGCGTTCCCCAGCTTCTCGCTCCACCTCAGAGGTTCCACGCCCACCACGGCTCGAGCCTCGTTGTGCGCCTCCAAGTACTCACTCGCCGCGGCTGTGAGAGGCGGCGGCGGTGGATTGGGCGGAGCGGTGGCGGCATGGGCGAGGATAACAAAGGTGAGAGAAAGAAGCAGGAAATGAAAGAGTGATGCAAGATATCCATTGGCTTAGTCTATCAATGGTTGGATTATGCTATGTAGACAAAGTTTGAGTCACGGACTTATAACATTCTTTATCAGCAACGTAAGATGACCAGTTTTGAATTTACCATCTTCTCCTTCCTATATCTTGATGCTCATGCTGCTGCTGCTGCTGCTGCATGTGTATTGCAGATTGCAACATCATATTAGCACGTAAATAATTATTACCGTTGGTTTGATTAGTTTCATAAATAATTAGTATAAAACATCCATTTTATGTTAGTAATGGCCACCTTAATTTATATAATACTCAATACTAACGCAGTTCTATAAAAAGTTATTTTTTTTCTTGTCAAAATAAAATACCAAAAGCAAGCGAGTCTCACTGGAAAAAAGGGTGTGCGGATAGCAAGGCCCTTCAATGTACCATGACAGAAATTGGGCCGGATGAACTCGTTCAAGTAGCATTAGTTGAAGCCCATTTCAGATTTTGAAATGTTACATTTCAGCAACAAAATTCTGGTCATGTCACTCACAAATGTGACTCATATATATCTTTAGTTTACTTTATAATTTTGCATTATTGTTCGGTAACAGGAGAGGTGTTTGGTTCTCTCTTACACACGCAAATCTATTAAACAAAATTCTTAAGAGAGGATCCAAATAAAAATAACACCATCCAAACTTTATTATGATATATACTTGCTCAGTTACAATTTAACATATGGATAAATTGTAATAATTAAAAAGTTAAAAAAAATTAATCATAAGTGAAAACAGTTACTAAATGATCATGTTTTTCATTAGTCTAAAAATTATAGATTAATAATTAATAATTCAGGTGCAACTATTTTATATTAAAAACTTAATAAATTTCATGATTTAATCATGACTTAACTCGTGTAACTATAATTATATGATTATACTATTTTCTATTTTAAATTCATTTATTAACATGCAACATTCTTATTCTTCTTCAATTTCTTTTACTTGCTTCTACAAATAAAAAGACAAAAATAATGTTCATATAAAAATAATAATAAAAAGTTAAATAGTATGGTTATTACAATCATGAAGTTGAAGAAAAAAAATACATTAGAAAATATCATAACCTTAATATAAATTTATAAGGATGAGAAACACGATAACACTAATTTAACTTAAGAAAACCTATTGAATTTAAAAAATATAGGAAACTCACTAAAAATACACAAAACAAATTCATATTATTTTTATATTAAAAAATACACTCTTGACTTATATTTTGGAAAAATGAGTTTTTTTAAGTGATTATGTTGCTTTTTTTATATTTGAACTTCTATTTAATACTTATAAATAAAACGTTTTGATTTAAAATAAATTTAACACAATTAAGAGGTATTAGTAGTTTTAAAATAAATTAACACAATTAATATATCAGTTAAATGAATTATAAGCTTTTAAATTAAATTAATCAATTTAGTTTTTTCATAAGAGTATAGATCAACCAAGCAAATTAGATTGATTGAGGATTCGAGATTTAATAAGACTGAAATTTAGCTGTTTTAAAATGGATGAGAATTGATGCCAAAACTATCGCATTTTCTGTTTTTAATATTTAATTTAATTACTTTAAGATAAATGAAACATATTTTTAAAAAATATGCAATAGTATAAATTATACTTTTCATTTTAAAACATAAAGTTTAGTTATGCATGAAAAAATGATTTTTTAATGTCCTGTTATATCATATATTTTACCTTTTTAGTGTCAAATATAAATTGTTTGTGTTTTAATTTTTTATTAGCTGTCAAAACATTTCATATTACAAATTAAAATACACATTTTAGAATACAAATTTGTACTCTTCTTACTTTTAAATATTTATTATTTTTCTCCAGCTTAATTTTCAAATTAAAAAATACATAGTTTAGAAAACAATCTTTCACACAATTAAAACTAGAATAAAATAATATAACTTACTCATAAAACATATGTAATTACTCATTATTATTCCTAAATTAAGTTTAGAAAAAAAATAACAGAAAAATAAAACAACAAATATATTATTCTCTAAAATTTTATATATAATTATTTTTTAAAAGAGAATATTATCAATTATTTTTAAGGCAAGAAATACTTTCAAAGAATACAATATTATTATATATATGGTACCAAATATTTAATACAACTCCATGTTATCCCCTGATTTAGTATTGCTTTTAAATTCAAACGATCACATGTTAATTCGTAAGTCCACTTGGTGGTTCCTTTGAATTTAGGAACCTACTTATTACATTATTTCTTAAAGATCTGTGATTGTATTTAACCATTACTTTAAAAAGTATAAAATAATATCAATTAGTTTTCATTTATATTTTTATCTTTCATATAAGTTTTAATTAGATTCTATGTACACTTTTCACTCTGATGAAAATAGAAAAGAGTAAAATAAAATTTATAAAATTTGATTAAAGTCAACAAAAATTATTGATATTTTCTAACAAAAAACTTTAAACTTGATTAGTAAAAATGTCATTCACTACTAACAAGAATGAGGCCATTAAAATTAGCTTAGATTTTAACTCCACTAAATACAAGAATGCAAATTCAAAATGCCATTTCCCACTGCATATTTGAGTGTCACTTGAATTAGTCAGTTAAGTACTTCCTACGCTACTTTTGAAACGATTTTTTTTATCACAGCATTTAATTTAAACACGTTTAATTCCTGTAATTATGATAAAGAAAATTTACTAAACAACAATACTAATATGATTAAATAAGCTTCTTCAGGTAACAAAAATAGCTAAAAGATAATAAAAAGTCTCCAATTCTTAACCCTGTTTTTACATCCATAAATATTGGGAAGGCATCATGAACTATGCCAATCAATTATATAGAAAGCAATTTTCCAACCCTAATCGCGTATTGGAGAACCTTGAAAAAAGGTTTTGTAAGAAAGAAACAAAAAAATTCACTGAATTCCAAAAGCTGGAACCCTGATTCACGTAGTACATGTTTTGAACAGAATGGGTGCAATTACAAACAAGCAGAGATGGAGAATTGTGAGAAAGGCAGGGAATTGTTCAGATGCTGCATTTCATCATTCCTGTGGGGGCAGCCATACCAATTCACAATCTCTTCTTTCACAACCAATCACTCTCATTTGGGCCCTTACTAGTACAAATTTAATCACCAATCTCTTCTTATTCTCTTACAAGGTCCCACTCAAGCAAATCGATTGAATCACAAATCAAACCCAACAAACCAAAACAGTTTTAACAAAACTAACTTACACGAGTCTAAAGGCGCCGCGTAACGGAAGCTCTGTTTGTGCCGGTGTGGTTATTTTTGGGGTTGGACAGTGCGGAACCGGCTTTAACGGCGAGATCGCAGAGGAGAGTGAGGGACAAGGGGGAATGAGAATGCGAGAGAGGGACGAGGAAGTAGATTCGGCCAGGAAGAAGCTCCTCCTCGTCGGGGACGCGTGGCATGCACGTGCCGATGTGCACCGACTCGGAGTTGCAGAGGTAGCAATGAGGGTTATCGTTGAGAACGGTCTTCGCCGGGATGGGTTGCTTGAACTCCTTGATTCGACCCGCCAGGTTCATCACCATGATTGACGAAGGTCTTCGGAATGATTCCGATGCATGTGCACCGCCACCGCCATTATTCATCCATGCGGTTGTGTTCGTGGTTTTGGCGGAGGGAGAAGATGCGCACGCGCCCATTGCGCCGAGTAGATGCTGCTGTTTCGAGATTTGTTCCTTCCCTTCTTATCCTGTTTTTCTTTATTTATTTTTTTGGTATATTTTGGATCTTGGTTTCTTCTTCCTTCTGAGGGATTAGGGTGACGTAGTCACATAATAGTAACATAATAACCTTTGTCATTTGACTTTGACGCAAAATATGCGCGTGCGTCGCTGAAAATAACAATTGGGACAAAAATGTATTAAATGTTTGCATTTAATGATTTCATTTTTAAATTTGAGACAGTGTATCAATTACCAATCAATGTGAAGATTCACAAGTCTTGACCTATTTTTAAATATATATATAATTTTATTTTATTCATTTTTATATAACATTAAATTGGATGTAAATTTATGAGTTAACTTTCCTAAATAGTAGAAAAAAGTATAGTTTTTCTGAAATTAATTAAATCATATTTAATTTATTGAATATGTAGGCTAAACAGGTTCAAATTAAATTAGGGTAAGTTGATTTTAATAAAAATTTTACTATATTTATTTCTAAATTATACTTATTTCTAAATAAAATTATATTGGATATTATTATGAACTTTTATGATATGAAAATTTATTAAAAATAAAATAAAGTAAAAGAATGCAAAATATTGGAAGATCACATCAAAGTTGTCAAATATTATATTTTATGAAATATAGAAAAAATATATATGCTATAAAAAATATAAATGAATAAATAGAGATAAAATATGAAATCATGTATATTGTTATGTATGAATGAAAATTATATTAATTAATTTATCAATATAATTATTTCTTTCAAAAAACAGAAAAATTATATATGTATAAAAAAGAGTATCGATGTTATCTTTCGTTATGACTTGAGAAACATTCAAACAAAAGAATAATTATTTCTTAACTAAAACTTATGAAAATTCTCTCTAAACATGTTTTAAAACATAAATAGTTTTATAAACTCAGCATAAAAAAAATTTTACATTAAAAAATAATAAAAAAGTTATCGATATATTCACTCAAAATTATTCTAAAAATACGAACATAAAAAGTTTAATTAAAACAATCTTAATTACATCATCAATATTAATCTCAAGCCAATTAATACATATATAATTATTTTTACTATAATTATTTATTAGTTAATATTTTAATAATTTTAAGACAATTATAATATTATTTGATAACAAATAATTTGAATGTTTAATAAATTAATTTTTTAAATTATATAATTTAATTATATGTTTATAATAAATAAATAAATGTACATATAGCATTTAAAAAATATTATAATTAAACAAACAAACATTATTTTGATTTTGTTCAAAAGAAGATATGCTATCAATAATAACATCTTCACATTCACATGTTAATACATTATTATTATAACATACAAAAAAGAGTAAAGTATTATTCAAAAATAATTATACAGTTTGAATATCAAATTAATCTTGCCATGGTCTATAATTTATACAATCAAGTCTATAATCATATATATATATATATATATATATATAAAAGATAAAAACATATTTATAATAAAATTATAAAAATTATTTATATTTAATTTCAAAAATAATAATAATAATGATTTACTTTTTTATTATCATAAAAAGTAACACAGTGTATATGTTTTCACTGTTGATAACATTTTAAGCTTTAATAAAAATTTCAAATTAAGAAATTCCAATTTGATTTGAAGTCAAAATATTAATATTTAGTTGCTCTCACCGATACAATAATTTATAAGAAGTCAGAATAATTCCTTTCTTATACCTAACCAATGTTCATTCAAGAATTTTTATTGACTTCTCATAATTAAAATTTTCATTTAAGTGATCTAGAAGTGAGTAAAAGTTGAATTATTAATGAATATTACTATTCAATACAAGTTCTACTCTAATTAGGCTAATCACGTTAATTGAACGCATTCATTATAAAACATTGACTTTCTCCTAATATTAAGTTAAACTTTAAAAAATATTCATCTACCTCTTCAATCAAATTAAAAGTATAAATATACAAATGATTAAATAATATATACGATTAATAAAATATCACTTTATTTTACCAATTCAGTCAAGAAAAATTAGGATATTTGTTGAGTGAATTTTGATCAATATGAACCTACTTTTTTCATATCTATATTACTAAGAATTTTTTGTAATTATTTTTATTTATCTTTAAGTTGCTTGATTTAAAGAATGTTTAATCCATTGAACAAAGTCCTTAAATAATTTATACTGTTTCTGCTGAACGGGACTGGGGAATTCTCCTTCTACCTCCGTCCGGAAACACTCCTCCTCCTCCGATCGGTCTTCCTCTTCTTACCTCCTCTGCGCTAGGTATCAGTGTAAAAGGGTTGACCTGCAGCAAACACTCCAACGCTCAAGTCAGAATGGGTTCTCGCAAGTCTATAATTATCAAAATGAACAGAAGATTTACCTTCCCCTTTCACTTCTATTTATACAATTACAGGGAATATTATTCATTAATTTACCTTTTAATGACTTTCAATGCTCACTTTAAATACTCGACAAGGACAGTTACCTCATTAACCACACATTCATGAACATTTAACGGCTGTCTGCAATCTCCTTTCCTCGTGCTTACCCGATCGGTTATGTTATCAGCCACCCGATCGGTGGCCTACCCTCGGTAGCCACACAAGCTGCAGTCGGTTACTCACCCTCAGTAATAACTCCATCCGTGGTCGGCTGCTTACCCTCGGTAATAACCCACTCCACGATCGGTTGCCTATCCTTGGTAGTAACATATACTTTCACCAATATTGGAATATGTTAGACAAACTGAAATTTGATGATTGGATTATAGAAAAATAAATTCATGGAGTGTAAGAAATGTTCCTAAACTGCAACAAAACTTTAACTCGTTTTTCAAATAAAAATAAATAAATTATTTTATACCCATTTCTCATAACCCTTACAAGAATTGAATACTTCTCATATGATAGTTTACACAATTACAAAATCATCCAAAACTCCTACATAGTTAATAAGTCAAATAAACACATTTAAGTTTTTTTTCTTTAATTTTAAATTTGTTAAATTTTAGCTTTACTTTCCTATTTAAACAGGAATGGTAAAATGAGGGTGTCAAGAAACTCATTTTTTTCTTCTATATAAGATATATATTGCTAAAAACTAAATCAAAATAATGTCACACTCTATCTACATATACTATAATTGATTATAGTCAATCCATGTAAATAATATATATATATATATATATATATATAT